GAAGGATACTTTAATTATCAAGAATGTTCTGCATTAGGCAGGAGATCAAAATAGACAAGCGCAATTATCTCATCTAGTCTCAATCAACCAGTGAACAGCATACTTTCAATAAAATAAAAATGGCATGATAACATTAGATATTTTTTATTAGATATTGTAATAAAAATAACTCAAAATAAATTTGGATACTTTGAAGTGTTTCTTATTTTCAGAATGATGACATTCATACTTTTTGCAGGGAGGGCAGATAAATTGGTATCTTCATAAGAAAGTCCATGCTTAGAGATCATAGGATTGGCTTCAGACAGATTTCAAAATCATTTGCATAGCAGACGCGTTAGCTCTCAAAAAAACAAAACTACACAGAAGAGCCTCAGAAAGCATTTTATGCACTCAAACATTTTATTAAGTAATCTACAGCAGACTCCTAAGGCTGTGCTCAGGACTTGAAATTTTGTCCTTAGACTGAAAAGAGCTAGTTGACCCTCCTTGCCACCAAGTTACAGGTAGAGTATGATGCTTTTCCCCAGAGGTGGTACTGTCAGATAGTCCAGGATGGAATTCCAAAACATAACAGAGGATGGAGCTGAGACTCAGGAGATTCAGTGAGCACAAAACACAGATACCTGGTGGCCTCCACACAGTCCATGTCCATGTTTTCACAGGTACGACTCCTGTTTAGGACAGCTCACATTTGCTTCTCTTTGGCTTAATTTCTTTTTCTCATTTATTGTTCAATGAATTAGACCATTTTTACTGGGCTGCTAAGTGACTGTTCTCCTTTGGATCAATGAAAGCCAGCTCTGTTTTAATTAACGGTGTTTTAACTTTACAGAGCACTCCGAAACAATAGGTCTTGTTTTCATAGAAATCCATATGGCAAGTAAAAAACAACTGTTATTCTAGAAATATACATTATACCTGTTTTATAGTTCTAGTTCATATGCATAAACATAGTTTTTATAATCTTCATTTGGATCCCTTTCCTAAATATATGTAAAACACTGAATAATTTTAATGTCTTACTTTGTAGGAGGTGGAGACTAACAGATGTGCGATATTCTGAACAGCTCCATGGTTAAATAAGATTGTCTGGTGATCTGGACCCTTCAAAGAAAACATAAAACACGATTTATTTTTTTAAAAGATCACATAAGAAATTTCCACTATCTGCAGCTTATTGTTAAGTATAAAAGGTAGGTTTACTAACATTTACTTTGTAATACCATTTATTTTGGCATACCAAATTTTTTTTTAAATAAAGAAGTCCAACTCTTATTTTTATAGCATTTGTCCTTTTCTGGTAATCATTTCCACTCTTTTCTTCAATAGGCAATGAAATTAGTTTTCACAAATTAAGAAACATGGATAGAGTACTTATGTTTCTATTCTTCATATTGGAAACAATCGAAAGCTCCTGATTTTCTCTACAAATCATACAAAAGTTCCCCAGTTACTAATGTCGTCTTCACTAGTAGTATTAAGCATTTTCAACAATTCTAACTTCAGAAGAGAGTGAATTAATTCTGAAACTGTTTCCAGACAGAATGTGGCAGTGCTTTGAGAAGAGATTCATATTTTCCTCTTACAGACTATTTTAGTTTCAAACATATTTAGCCATAAATCTACTCAGCCATCACCCATTTATTGACTTCAAGATCTAAGTTGACAATAGCTGATACGTTGATATTTTTCCAAGATTTAAAAATATTTTTTGGAATTTTTGGAATTAAACATTTGGAATTAAACACAAATTCTGAATTTTGCAGTAGAAAGGTATCAAAACTTCTGTAGTGTGACAAGGCTCGACGAGGTCGGAAAAAACAACATGAAATCTCAATGGGGCCTGCAATCCTCAAGCAGTCTCCTGTGAAATCTGATCTGTGACTTACAAACATCTCTTTAGAAGTAGAGTCATTACTCTAGTCGTCTTTGCATTAAGCATAGGCTATGTGCAATTTAAATTCTGCTTTTAGAATGTCACAGCATTAATCATACCTCGATGCATTTTCTTGACTAATCTGCAAGTAAAGAAAGTTCAAACCCAGCTGAGTTTCTGGGCACATCTATACACCCTAGTATGTGATGTTTTATTTTCACATTTGAGATATAGCTGAAATCAGGTACCTCTTATACTCAAAAGAACATTTTTAGAACATCCCTTACCTCTAAGAAAAAAAAGCACAAAATTACTTTTAGATGTAACATATCTGGTGCTTTAAGAGATGCTTCAGCTGCTACTGCCACCAAGAGCTTTCTACCAAAAAATGCAATTAAAACAGCATGGTTGAAGTAGGAAAACAACTTACATTGGCACACAGAAGTGGCTGAGGCAATGATTTAAAGCCGCAGCTATGCCAGTGTTGAAGCTGAAGAACAGATATTAAAATATGTGAAAAAAATGAATGAAATAAAAGTAAAAGAAATCATAGTGACCTAGATAGTTTTAGTAATTCATAAGTACTAATGATTTTTCAACAAGATGCAGACAGTAAATTCTGTGCAAACTGGATGAATGCATGTACAGAGGTGACACTTGGGTGTATTCTTAGTTGCATAACTAGATGTACATGGAAATATCTAATCCGTACGCATTGTGTTTGCACACACCAATCCAGCTTATTTAATGCACAATCAGGTTAAGCACTAATCCATAAATAGGGACAGCTTCAAACATAAATGTGAAAACTTGAGAACATAAAGTATCATTCCTTCCTAAACCCAAGCAGCTCAGGCACCAATTTAATAGCAAGGCCTTTTGCTTTTGTTTCTCTTTGGGTATACCGACAGAGTTCCAGGAGCCGGTCCTATTACAGTGATCTTTTTCTCCAAATATGATTGAACCACATATTTCAGGAATAGAAATCACACTTCTTGCATGATTTTCCATCATAAAATGTCAATTTTAAAGAAAACAGTGGGATAGAACAATGTAACAATTCATTCCATAATGAAATTTTAAAAGCAGATATCAGGGATCCAGGACCAGACCTCAGATCACATAGGAGAACATTCTCAGACCGGGCTTGGAAGGAAGCTGCCTTGATTACAGACTTTATCCTGGATCTTTCCCAGACACAAGATTTTAATTTTCAACTGGTGGTGAAATTATTACTTATGCACATTCAAATGTAAGTTCCAGAACTATCTTTTCAAATTATTCATACAACCATGTGTTTCCAAATGCATACCTTGTCTTTTTAATTTGACCATTAAAATAGTAAGGCTTAACTACTCACATCACTTTCTCTGGAAACAAACCAACTGCGATAGAGAGAATCTTAAAAAGTAAATTTTGAGTTGCATTTTAGCATACCACGTACATCAACCTGATTTCAGTTTACTTATTTGCTTATATGTTGATAGAATCCTAGCTCCGTATGTTAAGAACTGCATCTGCTCCCCCTGTAAATCAACACTTTCCCTTGCTTAGGATGGCTCTTCTCCAGGGTCAATGTTTTCCATCAGTTAATTTTAACTCTAAAAATGCAGTGAGAAGCGGTAAAAGTAAGCAGTAAAAGCAGAAAACAGCAGCAATATGCTAGGAACCTGAATTAAGGATTTCCTAGCTCAAGAAAACAGGTCTGAGCTTTTTCAGAGAAATTTGAGCAGGTGAGAAAGAAACCTGAGAAGCCCAAACAAGACTCTGGCAAGAAAGAGAAAAAATGGATGCACAAGATCTAAGCAGAGAACACTATGCAGGAACAAGGAGGGTAGCAGCTATGACATGTCACTATTAGTTTAATGAATAAATGAGGAAAACGAGAAATAAAAGCATCAATACCTCTTACAATATATGCTAAACCTTACCTAAATACGAAAGCTTACAGTAACTTATTTCTTCAGGAAAAAAATTAGAAAGGTTCTGTCACTCATGGCCTTTGGGAGGGAAGATGGAGCCTTCATTAAAAATATAGTGAATACCAAAACTTTCAGTATTTAATTTTTTTTTTGAATTATAAGAATGTACTTCGCCTATCCAAATAAATCAGAAAATCCCCTGCAAATTCTGCTTCACTGTATTAGATGTATTTTGTTATGTTTGAAAATACAGTAATCGACCTTGATAATCAGACCTGAAACCCAAGAACTAAACAAGAAAGAAAGAAGGGGGCATTTTAGATTTTTGCTGAACAGCTGCATTTGCCTGGGCAAGAGAGAAATGAGTCTTTATCAATTTAACATTTGTGATGATCTGTTTACTCAACCTCAAATATTTTTCTTTGTTATGCAGCTAATGTTTATTCTGTAAATGCAAGTATTTCCCAGTTCTCACACCCATCACCCTGCTTTTCTTGTGCATTCATGTTTCTATCTGTTCACACAATCAACTTTTTCCTTCCAAAAATTTGGGATTTTTCAAAACATTCACTGGAAAGTTTGTTTGAGAGAGATTTGGGGGGTGGAGGAGGGATTCAAAACAGTATAGTGAGTTCGTAAGACCTTCCTTACTTTACTCTTGTTAAGTGACTGGGCATTTGCTTTGTTAACAATATATTTTATATGTAAGTCACCAGGAGTTAATGGAGCTACAAGGAAGTAATTCACTTAGAAAAAAGATGACAATAACTGTTTTCATGTTGGATTAATTACCTGAAGTTACTCAGCAGTTCTCACACAGGCAACAGGGTTTATATTGCTACAGAGCTAATCCCTGATTTTATAAACTGACTTCTATACCACCCTATAATCAGTCCTGGGGTTTTTTTCTTGTAAGCCAACATGGCCCGATTTCTCACCTGTTCAAGCTACTCAGCCTATTACGGAGACTTTCAAGGGCCACTTAAAGATGAGATGCCTCACTGATGCGTTTTTCTTCTTAAAACACCAATTTTTTTTCCAATATTAGCTATAGTTCTGAACTTCCACAGTCCAGTGTAGGATTCTGTCTTAATGTTTACTTTAAACAATTCTATAAATATTAGCGGCTGAGTTATAATTTTGTATCATACTAACTCTACAGTTTTCAGTCCTCAGTTGCACTTAACAGAGAAATACAATTGGATGAATGTACATAAATAACAGTCAAGGTAGAGAAAAATACATGTTTAACAAAGGAATAATTCAGAGTTCCAGAAGACTCATTGTAAGTGATAAGGTAGAAAGATATTTTTTCAGATAAACACTTAAAATTCATAAATTTTGGAACCTTTTCATTTGTTGGTTTGGGAGATAAATACGATTATGATCTTTTAGTTTTAAACTGTTTCTAAAAGGGAAAGATGCTGTACAAATCTGATTTCCGACATTGAATTATTTTGATACAGTTACTATATAACCCATGGGTACAGTAACTACCAAAAAACCGCAACAATAATAGAAAAAACAGTGGTGTGTGGAAACTTGGGGGGGTGGGGAGGAAAAGACAAAAACTCCTGTGTTTGGGGTGGGGTTGCTGCTGTTTTTAAATTAGTTTTCCCATATCAAGAGAATTATGTAGCAGGACAGGATTTTTTTTTGCATAATACTGTAACTGGTAGAGCTCAACTGTGAAGACCATTTTTCTTCCTCTCAACCTACAGTACCTCTTAGAAAACATTCTCTGGGTTTAAAACAGCTGTCTTGAAAGCAGACACAAGACCTCTGCAAAGAGATGCTCACACTGTCTTGAGACTTCCAGAGAAAAAAAATAAGCCTTCCAAAATTTATACTGATAATAGCAAGGATTGATATTTGCCTAACTGTTGACTTTGTTTAGTAGCCAAAAGTATAAATATATATACATACCCTATAAAAATGCACTTATTTGCATATTTTGTTTTACTGTAAAGAAACATGTATCAACCCCAGTAACTCTGTCAGCAAATCCAGAGCAATAACAGTTCAGTCATTACTGTACTAATGTTCCTGCCACAAAAGGCAGTATCATGTTACACAGTTTCTTATTTGCCAGAAACACAACAAGTTGCATAAAGAACATGTATTCTCTTTCTTACTTTGCAGCAATGTGAGAAGATCTGACATATGTATTCTTGTGTATATCGAGACCTACTGAGCAGTGCCATGAGGTGGGAGATAACTGTAGCATCCTGGAAACGAGTCAGAAAAGAAAAAAGTATTAACGCTGTATTTCAGCATAGTTTCTTCACAGTTTGTTACTTAAAAGAGTATTCCTGATTCTGCATTCAGTGTTCTCCCTTCCACTGAAACTTGTACAGACACAGGACAAGAGCATTAAAGTAGTACAGGAAAGACTTCAAGGCATGAGTGACAGTTCTGAGCCAAATCCTCACGGAAAAATAAAAGGTCAATCCCAAAACTTCTGGGATTTGTCTCCAGAATCTTTACATCACGAGAAAACAATAAAAGAATGGAGAAAAAAACATACCAACTGCAAACATGGTCACTGAAAGCAATTACTCCAGGAATTGTCTTACTAGAAGTGTGATTTACTTACCTCTTCATTTCAGCTCTGAGTAGAAAAGAGCAGGGAGGGGAACAAGGTGCCAGACTGAGAAATGTACAGTCCACCTTCAGTTCTGTGGCACTCACTTTCTAACCAATTAAGGTGGGGTAATAATTTCCTTTAAGTCAAAAACACACTATAGACTCTATTAGTACGCGTGACACTAATGACAGAATTCTAAGTAAATCAGCAAAAGAAAATCATTATACTGAAGTTCCCTTCTGAAACACATCCAGTTACTTAAGTTACAAAATTACATTTTAAAGCTTTCAGTTACTTTTACCAGTACATTTTAGTGGCAGCAACTGCAGTGATATTAAAAGAAACACTGGTCATGTTTGGTTTGGAAAGGTGGTAAACTAAACTACTTCCATGAGATAAAGGGTGCTGAACAGAGGAGACGAAAGACTGAATGAGTCTTCCTTTCCAAAGAACTTATGCTATGTTGACCCTATACAAGTAAGTCAGACTCTGTTTTACCTGCAGGAGAAATGATGAATTGCAACCCTCTGACTAGGGAGAGGTAGATTAAAATTAGAGCAAAATCTTCATGCTCCTCAGCTACTTTTACAGTAATGAAAGTAGCATTAGCTTCATTGTTTTAATGACTATAACTTCAGAGATACACAGCTGTTTTTGGAAAGTTTTATTTCCCAATTAATTGGGAAATTTCCAATCACACTTTTTTATATTAGCAAAATAAAATGTGTAAGTCTCTCCTATTTGTATACATGCTTGAGATTAGACAAAGCTTTGCAATTTTTGTGTTATTTTTAATATTTTTTACATATATATATAAAATTTAGCAGACTTATTTTAGAAAGCTTTGCTGCCAACAATCCAGCCTTTCTATTCTTAACAGAAAACAATAGGACAACAGAGCCAAGAAACACACTAAGAATAAAAACAACTTGTTTCTACTGCTTGTTTCTCAATAACTGGAAAGGATCAATATGCAACAGCCTCATTTGCCATTTCAGCATCCTATAAAGTTACTTACTAGAAACTGGAGTTCTTCCAGGTATGCCAGCCATGTATCCATGCTCGTTGCACATTTATGTGCATAAGAAAAGAAAGGGACCAACTATTCTAAGCAGTATGCTTAGGGTCTGGTCAACAGTGGCTCCACCTGATCTTCTGCCTTTACACATGGCATATATACAAACACATCTATTTCTTTTCAACTTCAGAACCCAAAGGCCTGCAAGGAACTGGTTTGCTTGCAGGGCAATAGAGGACATTAAATCCACAAGTATAATAGCGCTGATGGTCATAACCATAATGACGTGTCTCTTGAATCTCCCTGACAAGAGGTAAGCCTGCAGCAGTGTAACTGTATTTTGTCCTTACCTTAAATTTGGTTTTCTCTCAACTAACCAGGAAATTCTAGATAAGAATTTATAGATGTCAGTATCCATTCAGGTTCTTAGGGAGAAAAAGAAAGCCAGAAGAGTAGCAACTGATTTACTGGCTAAATCATAGGTGACTAGCTTGCAATCAGATTTGACCCTCGCATCAATCGGGTAATTCTTATGGACTGCTCTGTGCAGCTGTCTGGTCTACAGAGAGATACTGGCAGGTACAGATCTGCATTTGTGTCAGGCAATGATTACAATTCACTCACATGATCTGTCACCTTTATCACAGGACCAATGCACATCTGGATACTGAATAATGCTGCCAACTCTGAAATGGTCCTATAAAAGGCTACAGGACTTTCCCTCCTTCCCTCAAGCTGGTAGAAAGGTTTTGCGTCCTGTTTTATTTTTAAACTTGAACTGGTGGAATTGCTTACGAAAATCAGATTTCAGTGAAAATACACAAGAATAACATTTAGATTATTCTTAAAGAACTTGAAATCTATAAAAAGTGCAAGAAGGCAAGCTTTGTATCAAGAGCCACTGGAAATCAACCTGAAGCTAGTGAAGTGAAGACGACTTCTGATGCTATCTTTCACAGATTCTACTAGAACATATCTTCTCATATCCTTGTTTTTATCTCCCAAACTATGAATAAAAATATATTGCTTTCATTTTTGAATAAAATAATTATTCAGTTAAACTCTTTTATTCAACACAGATGAATGCATAACATCTCTCTACCTGTATCTCACACCAGGGAAGGAACTAACAAACTTTTATTTCACATCCTAGCCAGTGACATCGCTGCGCAATAGTTCAGTTTCACCTAGCACTTCAACAGTATTGATCACATGAGCACTTCTGGCTGCAGTTTGATAGATTGGAGAGTTTTGGTAAAGATATAAGTGGACAGAAATCGAGCCTCTAACTGTTTGGAAGCTCTACTATAGAGTTATAGAAATGGGAATAGAATGGCACACAGTGATTTGCATAAGATAACATTTTACTGACCAGTGTGGCATCACGGCCCCACGGTAAGTTCCTGGATAGGAAGGTGTTCTTATTAGATGATGCAAAACATTTTAACTTAGCATTTATGAGACTGGGCTGTTCCGATACCAAACATTCTGACAGGGCATTTCTGGCGTCACTGTGACCCCAGCAATGATCCTGTATATATGGTATAAGGGTTAATGAATCCTTGCAATCAACAGAGTAAGGGTTTCCCGAAATTCTACCAATACATAAAGAACTGTATTATTAGATATTCTAGACTATAAAAGGATACGTTTGAGAAGCGATTCTTTGGAGATACCTTTCATACACTTTCTCATTTTGTTCTATCAAATCAGGAATGTTGTGGGTATGAAAAGGTTAAAAACTCTTGGAAAGTTACAACAGTGCTCCCTTAATGCTTGTGAGAAAATTATGTTAATTTTGTCCCTTGATTCTGCTAAAATATATCCAACTTCTATAATAATTCTAGTATGTTTATTAGAAAAGAATCTAGAAAGAGTAAAAGGATGTGTGGACATTACTGACTTCCAACAAAATGCAAATAGTAATTATATGTCAATGTCAGGCTACATAATTCCACTTTTTTCATATTAATATATAAGTAACAAAGGATCTTTCTAGCAACCCTAGTAAGCAACACTGAATCTACACTCATAATTTGCAGTTAAAAAGAGATTCACAAATCCATTAAAATGTTGCCTGCTAACAAAGACTACTTCCAGGCAACTTATGACAAATATCTATACATCACATGTACTGTAACAAAATTACTGCCCATCCAAACAGAATTACAGAATTCAGAAAGAATTAACAGAGTTGCATTTACCCACTTAGATTGCAATACCTACCTACTTTCTTCATATTCCTTTTTAATATTAAAATTTAAAATTAAAATTTGCAAGACCTATTCTTAAAACATTTCTTTGTGACAGAGGATTATTATTCTTTTTTCCAAGTCAGAGAACTGAAATTCTTATATTCATCCAAGTAACTTAAATTCAAGCTCTCTAAGCTAGAATTCATCATTTTAGAATTCTCATTTTTAGGAAACAGTTGAGATTAGAGAACATTTGGCCTTGCTGCATGGGCTCAGCCTTCACAAACAGGAGGAATGAAAGGAGCAAGGCATCAGAAGATGACCTAGATTCCTCCTTTAGTAACTGCATATCACTGAGCCATGGTGGAACAAGTGTACACTTTGCAGTGTAGTTTCATTGCCTGTTGAATACTTTGTTGTTAATCACTGTAACATATCCTGCTCTGTCCTGCTAGCCTTGTCCTCCGAATTGTTCCTCCTCCCCTTCATCAAGCCTGGTCGATCACCAGATGATGTCAGGTTTTCCATCTCAAACCTGAACAGTAAGGAGGAATGCCTTTCACCTAACATTACTAGCTCACGTAAGCTGGAAAAAGTGAGATTTCTGAAACTTCATTCCTCATTGTCTCAACAGCAGGGAGAAACTCATCTGCTGCAGTGCCTTCATTCTCCAAGCTTCCTGTAAGGACAGACTCGTTCACAGCAGAGAATGTACCTGCTACCTGCCTCTTCCTTCATGACCAGCATAGTAGCCGCAGCTAGCAATTTCTGGATAAAATTGTATTTGGGTCCCACTGAGGAAGGAAAATGGGATCACAACGGAGAAAATCTGCAAGCAAATAAGCTGGAAAGGGATTTGGCCACTGAATCCATTCTTTCTGTTTTAAATAGAATAGCAAGAGCTGAAGCAACAGGCTATGAGTCAAATTGGATTTGACCTGGTGCTTCAATCTGTTCAGCGAGCCAATACACACCTAGCTACATTGACCTGGCCAGTTCAGATGTACAAAACACCTCCAAATATAATCTTAAAATTTAAAAAAAAAAGTCTGCACATGTATCTGCATCTCAATAGATCTCTCACCCTGGGACTCCATGCCATTCCTCATTACCATTTGCAGGATGGTCACTAAATCAGTCTCAGCATCAAAGCCTGCTCCCTCTTCCAGTGAAGGAAGTCTCCACAAGATGCGTTTACCTGGCACAGCAGGTCTGGATACGGCTTACCGTTCTGCAGCAAACTTGCTCTAAGACATCAGTACCAGACACTAAAAGCCTGGCCTTTTTGAGACCTCAGTGTTCATTCAGCTTAACACACACACGGATGGGTCTTCACATTTTCTCAGTACAGGTCCTACATTCCTACAGGAAACAGCCCAAATGTTTCCACCTCTGAAGAACTATTTTGTCTTTGGAACTGAACATAATTGCTCAAAACCGGCAGCAGTTTATCCTTCAAGCTCCTGTCTACAAGGAAAGGTTCAAGAGGAAAGGTGTAGTTTCTGACACCTAGCATTTCTGCTGGGAGAAATACTCAAGTTACTGTGGATGACATGTTTTTGGAGGGGTTTTTTGGGATGAGATTTTATGTTTATTCTCTCCCAAACCTATTACAAACAGAAACAAACATTTTCAAGGCCCTTTAACCAGCTCTCTTTAAAGCACTTGTGTATGCCGGATCTTAAGTGAGCGGTCCTCTGAACTAGAGTGACTGTAACATCCTTGGAGACGTTGAGCTAAGTCATAGTATCTTGTCTTAGAAATAGTCCTGGCCAAGGTTTGAGAGACAGCATCCTCTATGCAGTCAAACAGCAAAGAAATTCTGGGAAAAGCTGCTATCTTAGATACAACTCAGGAACCAACTTTTCAGAAGTCTTCTCCAGAACTGCTGGACAAGAATGAAAAGCCATTGACAAACTTAGTCTCTTACCTTTCAAAATAGGACCTGTTAAAGGCAGAAATATGACCTTAAGCACAGTCATAAAATATTTAACTTCAAGGTGTCCAACTGGAATGGGAGGAAAATGTGTTTTTCACAGTTGAAACTAAAGAACAAGGTCGCCCTCACCAGATGATCGTTTCCTGTAGCTATGGTTAATTAAGGGGCATCACATTTGCCTGAATAAGGAATGGGGTGGCAGAGTTCTGATGTCACTGTTATGCAGCAGAGAAAGCAAAGGATGAAACAGAAAATCCAGTATCCCACAATGTTAGTGGTAATTTATATGCTAATACTGGTTCTTTCACATTTCTGTACCTATTCTTCCACTTCCTCTCCCTTCAAGATATCAAATCTCTCCTCCAAAAAAGGAGCAATTAATAGTCTCTATTGAGCACTGATCCCCAGGAAGAGGTATGGATTGTTAATGGAGATGATCATCTTAAGCCCCGACTTTGGATACCGAGAGCAGGAAGCAGATGACCCTGCGATTATGAACTCTTAGAGGCCGACTTGGGGGAATCTGGGAGCATGAAGTGGAGTGAAAGGAAGGAACAGACACAAAGAGGAAACTCTCAGATCACTCGGGAGAGGTGCCTTCAGTGGTCACATATACAGTCTGCATTGAGGGTTTCCTTGCTGAACAATCAAAAATCAATGGGAAAAAAAAAACCACAGTGAACATTGGAGGACAAAGCTGTCTACACATACTAAATACAAGGGTAAGCTGTGAAGAGCTGCAGAAAGACTTCATGAGATAGACTAATTAGAAGATGAAATTCAGAATAGGTGTATGGTAAAATTAAGTCCATGGAAAGCAACAAGTTTACATACTTACTGCCACTCTGGAACGAAAATGTAAGGAATTGTTAGAAAAGGAATAGAGAACAAAACAGACATTACAGCACTGCATAACAACTAGACAAAAAAAATCATGAAGAAAATCTGTTGAGGACTAGTAACACACAGAAATTGTCTCTGGTAATGACAGAGACACCCGAACAGTAGAGAAAGTATAAAATTAAATGCTAGCTATGCCCTTCTCTACAAGCATCAAGTCTTCCTCAGCAAGCAACAGAGTCATCCCTTTGAGTGGTGAGACCAGAGGGGTTAGCACTGCGGACTACCAGTTCCCTCAGAAGTTGGATCTGCTTGGCGACCTCCAGCCAACAGACTGGTGCAATGCTACCCTTTTCCCAGCAGAAAGCGATTGCTTGTACAGTACAGTTTTCAGGCCACAGCCTGCTTCATCCCTTGCACTGAGACAAAGGAAGAGGGAAGAGTGCAAATCCTTCTTCCCCTTCCTTCCAAGAAAGAGACAGTGACTGATTTTGGGCAAGGCCTTTTGTGTCTATGCTGCCAAGAGATAGCACTACCTTCAGACAGGCTTCCACATCAATGGCTTTGCCCAGTCACCTTAACAAGGTCAGCACCAATAGCCTTACTGCTCGCATGCTCCAAGCTGAACTCAGTATTATAGCACTGGTGGAGGACATTTTCTATCCTCCTGTCAGTTAAATGTAAACCACACATATATTACCTAAAAGCAGAGAAATTGTGGAGATGAAACTCTTCCACATGAAATGCAAAAACTAAGTAAGCACCCTCACATCTGGTGTGGGAGGACAGTGTCAGATAAAATTTTAAGTTTCAGAAACTAACTTTTGCCGGTATAGCTGTGATAATGGTATCTGTAAACACCATTTAGAGACACTTTTTAATCCTTAAGATTGCACAAAAGCCTGAAAATTTTAGGTTTTTTCTTTACCAATGTGCCACCTTGTCAACCATCTCATATCAAATATTGCTATAAATGTTAGGTGAGCCAGATGCCTTAAACATAGGTGAGAAATGCTAACATTGTTGGTCAAACAAGTTCTCGTTACTACTGCAGACAACAAGACTTTTCACTCCCACCAACTCTATAGGTTTTAAAAGGACGTAATAATCTGCTTACAACTTACTGTGTATAGTAGATCCTCTGGAGTTACAGGACTGATGAAAATGGTACGGAGACATCGCAGGCAAGCTTCAATAAACTTCAAATCTGGCGACAGTAATCCTATAAATATAGAAAGAAACTACTATTCAGTTTCATTATCTTTGCTTATTTGAGTACTTTAGGAACATTTACTAACATAGATCCATTAAGGGAAAAGTACCTTGCAATAAGGCTGGGATAATATGGCAGTCTAGTAGGGATTTGACATTATTCTCTGTACCCATTGCAAGGCTTCCAAGGACCACTGCGCATTCTGTTCTCAGTTCTGTGCTGGAGGTTTCTTGCTGAAGTAAATACAGCAACCTGGAAATAGAATTATTTTCAGAAGAAAATTCAGACAGAAGAGAACTTTTAAGTCTAGTGAAAAAAAAAAAAAATCTGAATCCTGCTATGTAAAGAAGATGAAGTCCTTAATAGAAAGATGAAGACGGAACAAGAGAGTAAGATGAACACTTTATTCATAAGAACCTTTTTACACTGTGTTCCTACACAGGTTTTACTTGTCGTTATGGCAGAAAGATATCACACTGGTTTTTTTTAAAAATGTAGTGTCACAGTACTGATATCCGGGATGTGGTCTTTCCGTATACCAGGAAGATCCCAAATTTCAATTAAAGGAAATGAGTCTGCAGTTTGATGTCAATGGGAGAGGGAACCTCATGCATCTCCCCTAACACCTAGGGACATGATTACCGTTATCATAATGGTTATCTTTGGCAGTGATTTCTTCTGGGTCATGGTTGCAAAACAATTCCATCATCAAGCACAAGAATGGGAGCTGAGAGTAATCTGAGTTTTGAACACTGAGAAATGTTCACATATGAACATAAAGAAAGTCCAGAAGAGTTGTATGTGCAGAAGGCAGCTGAATTGTAGCTAGAACAGGATCACTTCAAGCCTAAGCCACATCTTGCCAAATGCATACCTTGGGTCTCAATCAATTTTGGATTCTTTATACAGTTATCAAGATACCTAGGAGCCCCTTCAAACATATTTTAGATTACATCAGTAGCACCTGAATCACAGCAGAGGTCACCGAACACTTTCAGTCTAAATTTGAGTCACACAAAGAGCCCAGATAGTAACCACATTCCTACCTCTCATCAGCACAGCAGATAATCACTTTAAGATTCACACGGTTTATAAGCTTAAGATGAAAACCGTTTAACTAAGGCTCCCACATTACATACAAGTCTGAGCAAAACTATAACAGGTAAAATGACTTGGACACTGAGATGCAATTCTCTCTGTATATGCAACGTACACAGTCACTTTTCTAGATTCACTGAGCTAAGACAGATACATTCTCAGTTTAGTAACACACTACTCTGTATAGTTTGAAAAGGTCTCTCCTAAAGCCAGGCAAGATACCTTTGCTCCTTCTCTAGGAGCAAAAAGGAGCCAAAAGCCAGCATCTAGCCCGCTTGCTGAAGGGGACATAAGTAGTTACTCGGGTAAACAAATCCCTGAACAAAATGCCCCAAAAGCTGACTTCCTAAATCAAAGACAAGGGAAAAAATAACCGGAAACACAGCAGCTAAACGCAATTCAGGTACATGGCCATGGTACATGGAAAAGGCCACCAAGGGAAGTGCAAGCAGCCCCATAACAGATAGTGACACAGAAGAGTACCTTTAACGCACGCTCCAAATGTTTCCCACTTACATAAGGCAGAAATTGCTTCTTAGAATCCCCTACATTTGAAACCTAAAGTAAAAGACCAGCAGACATAACTATGGCATGTCACTGGAAGAAAGCTATGAGGTCAAAGGTCTCTTCAATACCTATAAGCAGCATATTCATTACATAAAATTCAGACTATCCCAGGCAGCAGATAATTTACTAAGCTCTTGGAGAAGGAGAACAGCAAAATAATCCCCCTGTATTCCCCGACAATTTAGTTGGATGAAGAATTTTCTGACTGCAAAACTGCTAGGAATCTGCTTTGCTCTAAAAGCAGGTTTGACAGCTGCTAAAAGCGGAGGTATACTAGTATCACTCAAAGCACACATGTGCCCTTTTTGAGATGTAGCTAATCTCGTGGTGGAAAAAAGCTCCAACACACGAACACATACTAAGGAGATTAAATATAATTTCTTCCTGAACACAAACAAAACAGTTGAAATGTGGCACAAAATTAACGTGTGAGATGCAAGCAACCCCATAAGCACAGATATCTTTTCTCCTTCCAACTTCCTTCAGATTCAAAGGGTCAGACTGGTATAAATTCAGAATGGCACAGATTTCCAGAATCATTGGTGTTTTCTTTAATCCGTTCCTTCCACAAACTTACCAGACAAAGGCATCGAGGTTCTTTGTCCCTGCTTACCTGTTTTATCTGAAAGGCCATTTATTCCTAACGTTTAGAAACCTCTTCTAATTTCTTGTACAAATCTATTCCTGACTAATTTACATCAATTTGGTACTGCATGCATATTATCCTTTAATTTGTATAATTCTTCTCATTTCTTACAGCGACCACCCAACGGTCCTGAGGCACTTTGGCCCAGACTGCCCACATGGCTCAGTGGAGCTGATCTGCTGTTTGTTCTTCATTTTACTGTAGGCCCCTTTAATATTGACAGAGCAAGGTATGTAAAAAAGGCTCAGATTATCAGTTGTTCCACAAAAGTGTATCTCACACATCATTTGTGCAAACTCAAAATTAACCGTACCTACATTATCGTCTTCTGGAAAAGGAACAAAAATTATACTTAAGGCAATTAAATTACATGTTCTAAAGCTACAAATTCTAGTACTGTATTCTTTGAAGTATCAGTTGCACTATGTTCAAGGTGAAGATTAGGGCTGAAAGACTACAAAAGAAGCAAAATACATAATCAATGTTATGCAAAATCATCACAAAGGAAAAAAAAGCATTCCACTTCCAATCCAAATGGGACAGAATAACCTTGCATTATTATTACTTCTTTATAGACAGCTGTTTTTGTTCTCTGCCTTCTAGATAGATAAGGATAGACAGGAAGGAGAGGCTTATTTGGTAATGTACAGATGCACTGAGCGATCCTGGCTAAAATTCACTCTTGAAAAGATGTTAGGTTTTTTCTGGACACCGAGCTACTATATGGAAAATGCAATCTCATCTCCTGTTCTAACTCTGACATTTGCTAATTGCCAAGAAAACTCCCTTATTGTAGAAAATAATTTAACAGGAATTACCAGGAGCAGATCAGAAGATGCATTAATTTATTGCAGTAACCTGTACAGCTGTTTTATTTTAACACCAAAGACTTGACTTTTCTCGACCCTTCTAACTTACACACATAAATTCTGTAAGCTAACATTGCAGAACAGTTTTCAACATGTTCTATTTGTAACTCCACTGCTCGAAACAGTTATATCTTCTATAATCTGTATCACTTTATTTCACAGCAAAATTCAGACTTTTATTTTCCCCTGGTATTTAAAAAGCAAGCTGAAAGATTTGACTTTAAAGAGTTGGCAATTTAGAAAACTGACTGACAATCACCCAGACCAGTCAAGAACAGAAATCAGCAACATACATACAATCTTTCATCTCTGCACAAGGAGTAAAGAATAAAAACTTTTAAGTCTGTTACCAAAACAAAAGTTACTTTTTACAATTATTTTAAATGATACAGTTTATGATATAGTAATTTTAGTAAGACTTAAGGCATTTGATTCCTACTGTTTTCACTATGCTTTCTCAGTCTGCTCCTTCAAATGCGTAAGTGTGAGAACCCTTCAGTGATGGTATTCTGTAAGGACACACCCAGGCTCACCCATACCTACGCTGCAGTAAGCAGATCCATTTATGATGCAGGAACATAAAACTGACATGTATTTTAATTCAGCATGTACAGAACAAACATGCTATCAAGCAACATAAAACAACTTCCAAACTGGGAATAGAAGGCTGCATTTTCCCTAAATCCTCAACCATACCCCAAGACAAGTGTTTTGGCAGCATGTTTTAAGTTGGGTTGGTTTTTATGGACTAAGCTGGGAAATACGTTTCAGAGTGCTGCGGCAAAGACAGCTGGCCATTAGCATCTGTCCCCTTCCTGTGAGAAAGGCCTCACTATTATTGACCACTACTAACTTGGAGACATGCTAAGCTTCATTTCAGAATTATGTGAAGTAGTACTGTTACAGAAAAATACCTATTCTTAGATTAGATGATTTAAGATCCCCAAGCCCCCCCCCCCCCAACCGAAAAAAAAAACCCAAAACAAGAATCAAGACTAAATCAATCTTTTCACTGATTATTTTCTAAAAAGCCTAGCAAGCCATTCACAAGCTTTTCAGACGTGGGGTTGTCTGGGGAATACTAGGAGACTCCTCTGATGTAAGTGTTGGTAAATATGGATCTAATTACTAATTAAAAAATGTCAGTAACAGTGACCTTTTTTTAAAATAGTTTTCAATAACCTAGAATTCAATTTAGAAATGCAACAGTATTTCCTTTCATTTTCACTATGAAGTCCTGAAAACCTGCTCTGAGATGCACCTTCCCTGTACAAATCACACCAATAGCCTTCTCTGGTTATTAAGGACTTCAATAAATAATCTGCTTCTTGTATCCAGAAATGTTCAGTCAGAGAATCATAGAATCATTTAGGTTGGAAAAGACCTTTAAGATCATCGAGTCCAACCATTAACCTAGCACTGCCAAGTCCACCACTAAACCATGTCCCTAAGCGCCACATCTACACATCCTTTAAATACCTCCAGGGATGGTGACTCCACCACTTCCCTGGGCAGCCTGATCCAAGGCTTGACAACACTTTCGGTGAAGACATTTTTCCTAATCTTCAATCTAAACCTCCCTTGGCGCAACTTGAGGCCATTTCTTCTCGTCCTATCGCTTGTTACTTGGCAGAAGAGACCAACCCCCACCTCGCTACAACCTCCTTTCGGGTAGTTGTAGAGCGCAATGAGGTCTCCCCTCAGCCTCCTCTTCTCCAGGCTAAACAGCCCCAGTTCCCTCAGCTGCTCCTCATCAGACTTGTGCTCCAGGCCCTTCACCAGCTTCGTTGCTTGTGTTTCAGATTAGGTTTTCCACAGAGCTAGACATCCATATTATAACATTTTCTGTTTCTTTCTTTAAAAGAGAGAACTGACACCAAGTAACACTGAAAATTAAGTAGTTAAATGACAAACTATAAAGTTACAAAAAGTTTCAAGTGAGGAGAACCCATATAATTGATAAAGGTGAAACCATGCATTAATAAACTACTGTTAATCGTTAAGGACAAAGACTACATCCTTCTGTTATCACAAGAAACACAGGGATAGCACACTAATATACATCCTGGACTGGTTTTTGTTTCCAGGGTCTAGCATAGACAAATTCAGCAAAGATTTTTGTAATA